GCTGAGGCCAAAATAATTGCAGAGGAAGAAGCTGCAAAGGCAAAGGCAGCCGCTGAAGCTGAGACCAAGAGAATTGTAGTAGAGGAGGAAGCTGAAAAGGCGAAGGCAGCCGCTGAAGCTCGCGCAAATATTATTGCAGCGGAAGAGGCAATGGCTGAAGCCAAGGAAATGTCGGAGAAAGAGTCAATTCCTGATGCTGTGGGAAATAGGATGACTGACGATGAGTCATCAATCGAAGTTGAGGGAATGATGATGACTGACGATGAGTCATCAATTGAAGTTGAGCCAACTAAAATGACAGAAGAAGAAGCAGCTGCCAAGGCTGAGGCGAAAGCCAAGAGAAAAGCCGAAAAGAAAGCGAAAAAGAAAGCAAAGAAGGAGAAGAAGAAGAAGAAGAAAGCAAAGAAGGAGGCAAAGAGAATTGCAAAAGAGAAGGCAGCGGCTGAAGCTGAGGCAAAGACGTCTGGAAACGAAGATCCTCCAGCTGAAGCTAAGGTTTTAGCCACAGCAGAGACTAACACAATTCCAGAAGAGGAGTCAGCCAATAAATCCAATGTTACTGCCGAAGTTGACGATAAGATGGCTGTAGGAGAAGAAGCAGCGGGAGCTGAGGCTGAGAAAAATACTGACGAAGAGGCAGCTGAAAGGACACAAGCGGATAACGCAGCAATTGCGGAAGCAGAAGTGCTCCTCGCCAAACAGCTTGATGAGGTAGAAGCAGAGGTGATTGACGCAGAAAGGCTTGCTGCCAAAGAAATGGCTGAAGTGGAAGCGAAGCTGGCTGCAGCTGAGAAAGCATTTGCTGAGGCCCAAAGGTCAGAAAAGAAAAATTTAGTGAATACTAATGATGCACTGAAACGTGATGATGTTCATCCTACAATAGAGAGGCCAAAGCTAGCTGCGTTTGCGGAAAGGGCTAAAAGTTTTAAGAATCGTATATCACAAGAATTGGAAGACAGGAAGGAACGAATAGGAAACAATGAATCAGCAGAGCAGGAACCAAATGGCAGGAGTTGGAGGGGTCGCCTTTCACAAGGAGCCTCTGTCGAGAGCAAGAATGAGCAAACACGAGGAGACGAATCAGCAGAACAGCAACTCAAAACGTCGACGTTTGCAAACCGAGCGAAGAATTGGAGATCTCGTTTCGGTAGAGGGGCGAACAATAACTCAACTGATTCGACTGTTGCAAGTGATGGGAATAGCGAAGCTGCAACGGCTGGTAAAAATGCCATAAATGCATTTCCGAAGGTCCTTTTCAACGATGGAGGTGAATCAAATTCTGTGAAAGAGCCAGAAATTGGATCTATATGAACGAAATGATACGCTTTGTGAGCTTCACATATATTGAATTTGGATTTTCATGTTTTGGACACATGATATATACCATTGCGACATGAGTTGCGGCACGAGATATTTTCAGAAGATTACTTTTCAAAATTGGTTTTATTAAAATAATACGGCACTTTCTAGTCGCTAGGACACGTTGCGTAAGAACTGCTTCGCTTGTAGTGCGCACATCACTTGTGTTCAGATGTCAGGATCCCGCTCGATCTTCTGTTGGCATGTTGATTGTAGTATGATACCTATCGTACTGCCGCATAATAGTACATATCGGTACGTTGGGTAGATACTGTGCGCGTAAATGAATGGATTTCTGGTTTCTCGCCAATTTAAGCCGTTAACGCCGACCGAGCCAAACCTTTTTTGAAGCTACAACATCACTTCAGTTTTCACAGGACCGAGATGTAACAGGTACGTACTCGTACTTGTAATTCTTTTCGTAAAAAACTAAACCTATCGGTACCTGGTACCTACCGATACCGTTCGCTTCGAAAAGACGCTTGACCTCCTTAAATTGAAGAACAAAGAATTCCTAGCAATGAGTATAATATGATGGCAGATTACGAACAAATAGCGACGTTTCCCTCCTTACCACCGCATGCTATAACAGTGGAACAACAGAGGGTCCTTGAGCCTCTCAGCTACCCCAAAAGTATTGATACGCGGACATCGCATTCTCGGCAAGTCGTAGCGCTTCTTCAAGGTGCGTGAAATGGCAATTCAGCAATGATACTTTCATATTCTGATGCCGTCCATTACGGACACTTTTTTATCACTGCTCAACTAATCGGCTTCTTCTCACATCATTTCTTAACTCGCGAAGACCTTCATCAATCCATAACACCTCCCGAACGATGGCAAAGCCTGCAAAGGGCGCTGAATCTTGTTTCCCATGATGTGACAGAGCTTCATGACTACGAAATAAGCCTGGGGCTTGATAAGGCACTTTGTCTGAAACTCGGATATGTTGTCGTAACAACCAAAAGCAATTGCGCCTCAAAGGAGGTGACCTTGATTTGTAGTTGTTTGCTACAAATTTTCAAGTGCTCGTCGAAAAATCGATTACGTTCTTTTCACCACATCGGTGCCACTGAATTGCTCCCAATACTCATACAGTTTTGTATTGGCATCATTAAATGCAAAATAGATATGGAAGATCAGTCCCCTGAACATGATGACGGACTCGTTTCGATCGTTCGAGTATTAAGAGTGTTTTCGAAATTGATTCCAGCGAAGTCTTTTTTAATAAACTATCTTCAAGGAGCATATCTCGGCCATTTACTGAGAGATATGCTAATATGGATAGACGATCCTGCGTCTTCAATTATATACTCATCAACGGAAGTTTTATGGGAAGCTATTGGTGTCTTAAAGGATTTGACGTTCCGATCACAGACAAACGACAAAGAAACATTATTGCACTTGGAAGGTGGGGTTCTCTTAAAAATTTTATCAATCTGCTGTGGAGGAATAAAGGCATCGCATCCACGAATTCAAGAGTGGTGTACTGCTGTAATTTGGAATCTAGCACTAGATCCTCAAATCTGCCGGAAATTAGTGTTTGGAAATGATACCCATGAAAGTGGTGGAAATGTTATTTTGGACGGGCTCCTTGAAGTATTGACCCATTATTCTGCAGATAGCAAGATATCGGGATATTCCCTTAAAATCAAACGAAACGCGATGAGTGCAATTGGGAATATAGTTTTGGATTCCCAGAACTCTTCGACTCTTTTCAAAAAAAAATGCACAGATAAATCCTCTGAAATACTGCAAAGGTTGATGAGTTTGGTTCAAAACGACTCCGACTCGGTAGTTCGTAGACGAGCTATGCGGACCATAAGGTGTCTAGCAAGCTCTGGAGTAAATGATACTATTCTTCTAAGAGATCTCTCCTCTTTATTGGTCGACATAATATCGCAAAAAGGATCCGAGAACGATGAAAATGATGAAGACATGCATGTACAAGTTTGTCAAACAATTATCATACTGAAAGAAACTATTGACGCTAAGATTTGGCCTCGATTACAAAAGTCTCTTGTATGTCGAATAGAAACTACAACATCAATCAAAATAATTTCTGCAGCAATTGTGTGCTTGTCCAACTGCTTCAGTGATGAACATTCAATTCAAAACTGGGATGGTTTCTCTGATACTTTTTGGACAAGTCTTGAAAGAACAACAACAGCTAACTTAGAGGCCCATGAATCAGTATCAAAACTGCTCCTTGGAATTGCAAATAACGAAGGAAACATAAGAGATGCTGGGGATCGAGGTATAAGAAACCCAAGTATTTTGACAAAAACAGCGGTCGTGAACACTCTGACCACAATTCTTTTGGAATCAGAGTGCAACAGGGAAGAACCAAGGAATCAGGCTTTACAAACTGTTCAAATATTGGCCGGGAACGAAATCAATAAACGACCACTAGCTGAAAATGATAGGCTGTTGTCTGGTCTGGTAACTCTATGCCTTACACAACCAGATCCCGGTATCAAAGATTCAGCGAAGGGAGTAATATTGCAACTAGTGCCTGAATTGTAATATATTTTAATGGCCAGAGGTAGTCATGCCTTTGAACTATAACAACGGGTTGTGACCATCATTAGTGCCTTTGTATCACAGGTTTTCATTAGATTATCGGCTTTGCATCAGTTCCACAGCGGACACATTGGAACCGAATGAGGATAAATTGTAACAAAGCACATTGTTCAATTATGTAAATCGGATTGTTCGATAAATAAATGTTTAATTTAATTGAGTTGAGTTGACATCAATTCCATTTCTGAGTCGTTGGCGTCTATCATTTCGAAATCATTTTTGACTTCATTATCATAATCAGCGTTCTCTAATCGGTAATATAGGTGATGGCCGTTCCGAGATCTTTTTGCGATTCGGCCATGTTCGGATTCTTCACTTTGTGTCATTTCTTTACCTTCGATGTGAACGATAGTGCCGCTTGTCAGTTCACCGCTAATAAGCATGCGACTAAGTTTGGTAACTACCGTAGCCTCTAAATATCTTTCAACAGGACGCGCACCGAAGCTTGGAGTGTAGGATGCCTCAAGAATAGCTTGCACTCCACTCCTTTCCAACTCAATTTTTATGCCTCTCGATGCAAGGCGGCGTTTGACGCCTTTCATTGATTTGTGGAGAACTTTCTCTAGCTGTTTAATGCCCAGAGAATTGAACATCACAATGGCAGATAGACGATTCAAAAATTCGGGGGCAAATGAGTATCTGACTTTTTCCATAACTTTATCATGTGCGGCTTCAACCTCGTGCTCTTGTGAATTCTCGGTGAGCACAAGTAAAGATTCTGCCCCGATATTGCTCGTCAAAATTATCACTGTGTTAGTGAAATCGACAGTCCGTCCCTTTGAGTCTGTGAGTCTCCCTTCATCCAATACCTGTAAAAGTATAGTCAGCACCTTCGGATGCGCCTTCTCCACCTCGTCAAGAAGAACTACAGTATACGGTTTTTTGCGAACAGCCTCAGTCAGCTGACCACCGTCATCATGTCCAACATAACCAGGCGGTGCACCAATAAGTCTTGCAACGGAATGTTGTTCTTGGTATTCACTCATATCGATGCGAATTAGGTGTCGCTCGTCACCATCATAGAGCTCCGAAAAAAGTGCTTTGCTCAATTCTGTTTTTCCAACTCCGGTGGGTCCTAGGAAAAGAAAGCTCCCGGTTGGTTGACCTTCTCGCGACAAGCCAGCCTTCGAACGAAGAATAGCATCCGTCACCTCTTTGATAGCTGGATTTTGCCCTACGACTCTTTGTTGTAGGCGTTGGTCCAATCGTAGCAGGCGTTCTCGGTCTGTCTGGCTCAATTTTGAAACCGGAATTCCCGTCCAACGAGAGATGACTCCCGCGATGTCTTCAGGGGTAACAACCTCGTCCATAATACTCCCATCGTCGTCATCTTTGTTCCTGTTTTTTCTTCGCTCCGCCTCTTCCCGTTCAATATTGGCTAAATGATCCTTTAGATCCGGAATTGCACCGTGTTTTAAGTCGGCAGCTTTTACGTAGTCACCGACACGTTCGGCTTGCAAGAGCTTGGCTTCCAAAGCATCAAGTTTTGTTTTGCTTTCCTTCAGTTCATCGGCCCGACCACGTTCTGCCTCCCACTTTGCGTTAAGGGGAGCAACTTCTTCCTTCAGGTTGGATATTTCCTCTTGAAGTTCCTTCTCTCGCTTTCTTGATTTTTTATCTTTTTCACGTTTTAGAGCCGTCGTTTCTATCTCTAGTTGCAGAATGCGTCGTTGAAGCTGATCAATCTGTTCGGGTCTGCTGTCCAACGCGGTGCGCTTGGTGGCGGCGGCTTCGTCCATCAAATCAATGCTTTTGTCTGGATTAAATCTGCTCGTAATATACTTGTTTGAAAGCTCAGCGGCGGTAACAAGTGAGGCATCGGCAATTCTCACGCCATGATGTGCTTCATACCTGCCTACGAGCCCGCGAAGCATCGAAATGGTGTTTTCTACATTTGGTTCGTTGACTATCACTTTTTGAAATCGTCTTTCGAAAGCAGTATCCTTTTCGATGTGCTTCCGGTATTCGTCGTTAGTCGTGGCACCTATCATACGTAGCTCACCGCGCGCTAACATCGGCTTCAGCAAATTGGCAGCGTCCATCGCCCCATCTGTCTTGCCAGCTCCAAGTACTAAATGGATTTCGTCAACGAAGACAAGCATCTTTCCTTCAGCACTCTTGACTTCGTCCAAAACAGCTCGCAACCGTTCTTCGAACTCTCCGCGGAACTTAGCACCAGCTACTAATGCTCCAAAATCTAAGGTGCGCACGCTCACTCCTTTCAGCGTCTCGGGAACATCGCCTTCCAAAATTCTTCGAGCCAAGCCTTCGACAATTGCCGTCTTGCCAGTTCCTGGCTCGCCTACCAACACTGGGTTGTTTTTTGTTCGTCTTGATAGGATTTGCACCATTCTTCGAATCTCTTCATCTCGTCCGATCACCGGATCTAGTTTACCTTCTTCTGCAGATTTCACTAAATCTATGCCATATTTTTGCAATGCTTCGTATTGATCTTCAGCCGATGCCGAGGTCACTTTTTTTTTCCCGCGAATTTCGTCAACTGCTGCTTGAGCCGCCTTCTTAGTCAGGCCTGATTCTGTCTCGATTGCCTTCTTCAGTTCCCTCTCTTCGAATATTTGTATCAACAGATGGTCCAAAGCAATCAAAGCATCTCCGTTGGCTGCCGCTGCTTTTTTCGCTCTATTTAGAAGTTGTGCGAGGGCGTGTGATGGTGTCGCTTCGAGCGGTGCTGGTGATTGTGAAGGTCGTTTGAGCAACAATTTTTGCAAGTTTCGTCGAATGAGTGTTACATCGGAAGCTCCATGTGCCTTTGAGCAAACTCGAGCACCAATTGAATCGTCGCCATTGAAGAGGACTGCTGCTAAATGCATGGGATCTGCTGTCGAATGCCCGTTGTCTCTGGCCAAAACTAGTGCCTTTTCGATCGCTTTGGTGGAGGCATCCGTCACTGTTCTTTGTTCTGCMATGTTGTTTGGTTATGGTTGTGTTTGATTTTTGCTGTGATGAATGGTTTTCAAAATTTATGACCTTCTTTACTGTGCTTGTGTGAGAAACCTATTTATTGAAACTCTTGATTTTTTTGTGAGACGATTGAGGTTTATTACTGTGTTGATTCGGGAAAGGGTCGGTGCGCTACGACTTCTGGGTACGAAACTCGTACACATACCGGAGCAGAAAATGAATTTGACATGGCCTGTGTGTGTTTGGAAGATTGATTGAGAGCTTACTTTTCCTCTTCGACAATCTTCGAAAGTCGAAGAGTGGATGTATCGAAGAGTGGATGTACGACTCAAAGAAACCACTGCTAATCCACGACTCAGAAAAATTTGACCAAGTCGAAAGTCTTTCCCCACTGCTCCTAAAAGTAAATTCAAATTAAAATCTAGATTTCGTACTCGAAGGGGAATCTGAAGTGAAGATGGTCAGACGTTTTGGCTTTCCTGCCATCAGTCGCGATTTTCAATTTTCCTTGCCATTTTTGAACAATCTGAACAATAATCTTGCATAGTCCTTCCTGATTGTCGCATCTATGGTACTTACCTAATTGAGCGACCATCTACAGGTATCTGCAATAAGCTTTAACATAAAACAATCTAAGGTATTGTAAGACCTCGACAATCGTATCTCGAACCTAGCTATCGTACAATTGCATTCAAATAATAGAGAAAAAAGTCAGGATGGGTCGAAAGTGGAGACGCAAAAACAAGAACAAACACTCCGGGGAAGGAAAGCCACGCGATAGCAACAAAAACCCTGATTGGGGAAAGGAGCGCGACCCGTATTCGATCGTTGAAGCTGGAAATTTCCGAATGGAAGCATTCTACGCATATCAAGGAATTCATGGTTTCCGTATGTCAACTGATCCCGATGGTAACGCCAAAGGAGATTTCGTTGAATGTTCGGCCTCGGGAGAAAAAGAAGCGGAACGGCAGCGTTGGCTGAAAGCGCTGAAATCGTCTTTGCCAATATCATTTCGGATTGGAAATAATGTTGATCCCGACTTGCGAAAACATCTAATACTCGAATTGGAAGAGTTTGTTGGTAAGAAGATGAAGATCGAAGTGGAACCGAAGGGAGGGAAACGCCGTCAGATACGAGAACAGCAATACAGAGAGCAAGAGGAGCAAAAGAATGAAGGAGAAAGTGAAGATATGCCTCGACCCGAGCTAGAAAAGGAAGTTAGATGGATTTCTGCTGCAGAAAGAATTTCTTATATTCCTCATGCTTACCAGGTGAGCATTGACAAGCAGACTCTCAGACGAAATTCTGCGTTGAAGCCCTTTCATGATTGGATTAAAATCCAAACCGAGGCAGGATTCATCACAAGACAAGAAGCTGTCTCCATGATCCCACCTATTGTTTTGGATCCAAAACCCAATCACGTTGTGCTAGATATGGCTGCCGCTCCCGGATCTAAAACTTCGCAACTCCTAGAGATAGTCAATTTGCCCACCGACAAGGACTGTCACGAACCAAAGGGATGCGTTGTTGCCAACGATTCCGACGTCAAGAGAGCATACATGCTAACTCATCAGACGAGACGTATTAATAGCCCCGCCGTATTCATCACCAATTGCGACGCGCGATTCTTCCCTCTCTTGCGAAACAATGATGACATCAAAAACAATGAATCGCCTGAAGGTATTTTTGACCGAGTCTTAGCTGATGTCCCTTGCACAGGCGATGGAACGGCCCGAAAGAATCCAGGCATTTGGAAGAGCTGGAGTGCCCTCAATGGATACGCTCTTCACCCCCTTCAGCTGGCAATTGCACTGCGTGGCGCTCAAGCGACCAAGGTTGGTGGCTATCTGTGCTACTCTACCTGTTCCATGAACCCAATTGAAAATGAGGCCGTTGTTGCAGAATTGCTGCGAGCATCGGAGGGATCTCTAGAACTAGTGGAACGCAAATCGGAACTCGAAAATTTGTGGTCCCGGCCTGGTATGACGACTTGGACAAACCTAGCAGAATCAAGAAGCGCTCGAGAAATTAAGAATAAGAAGAAAAAGAACAACCCGAAGATGATTGCGAGGCGAAAGGCGTGGGAAGAAAAGAATGGGGAGAAGAAACCTGAGAGTACATCTACTGGTGCAGGAGAGAATAACGAAAAGGAGATTGAAAAGGTTGAAACGGTATCAACTGAGTTGGAGGAGCCAAAGATTATTTCGAACAAGACCGTTTTTAAGCCAGATTCGATGGACGATAAAGAAGAACTCAAGAAATTAGTTGAATCGGCTGGGATGGTCGAATATTTGTCACATGATGATGTTCCCGCTTTGATGCGGAAGAGAATTCGATCTTCGTGTTTTCCGCCCACTCCTGAGGAGATATCGAAGTTTAATCTACATTATTGCATGCGTATCTTACCGCAGGATATGAACACCGGTGGTTTCTTTGTCGCGTTATTGAAAAAGGTGGCTCCATTGAATGCAAGAGTACGAAAGAAATTTGAGAAGCTTGAGAAGGACATAGAAACCAACAATACCAATTCAGGAATAAGTACTGGGGACGAAAAGGGTGGCAAAGATGATGGTGATAGTGAGCCAAAAACGAAGAAGGTAAAGGTTGATGACCCTGCAAAGGACGAGGGCGCAAAGGAAGACGATATGATAGTTGAAACGGACGAAAAGTTCAGTGAGAATGCAACAAAGACCATCGAAAGAGGAGCAGGTGGTGAGAAAGATAAGCAAAGAAAGGAAGAAAAGAACATTGGAAAAGACGACTTCCTCCCTGTTCCGGATAACATCTTCAACCCTTTAAAAGAATTTTATGGCCTAGATGATGAAAGTTTTGAGGAAAGCAACTTTATGGTGCGTTCTGGTGGAGATGGAAAAATATTATATTTTGTTTCAAAGACAATCAGATCCTTGTTGATTGATCGCGGTATCCAAGACAAACTAAACGTGATTAATTCGGGTTTGAAAGGTTTCACCAGAAACAACAAGGAGTGTGTTGTTGACTACAGGGTTGCGCAAGAAGGTGTTCATTTCGTTGCCCCTCACATGAAAAAGAGAAAGTTCGCCGCGAACCTCAAAGACTTTGAAATGTGCTTGAGTGGTCCGACGGTTCAGATCAAAGAGTTTTCTGATGAATTTGCTTCTAAAATCCGGGAATTGTCGATGGGGTCCTTCGTCGTTACATTAGAAGGATATGAGAACGACTACATCAAAAAGTTGATTATAGTCCTGTGGAAAACTCGGGGTGATGCTGTTAACTATTTAGTCACCCAAACTGAAATTGATGGCATTAGATGTAAGCTTCGAGCGATATCCAAAATTCAGGAACTAGAAAAAGAAGCCCCGTCGGTAGCGGAACCATAAGTGAACAAATAAATACGAATGACTGGATCTTTGACAAAGATTACAATGAAATTGCTAACTAAAGTGGTAACTTTTAAATAGCCTAGCAGGTTTTCTGTAACTGATACTAGAGTCTACCGATAGAAGACAAATTTTCTAAACTAACATTAGAAGTTTCTATTTTAACTAGCTTCATCAGCTCCATCAGCTCAGCTGGTAGTTGAAAAGATTTTTGTCCAGTCTTTCTCACAAAAAAATATGGCAAGAACTTCTACTCATGGTGTTTGTCAATTGCCAATTCTTATTTGATTGTTGATGAGAACAATCAATCCTTTTTGTTGAAACTCAGAATACTAGACAAGTTGCAACTGATGATTTATTGTTCTATTGTTGTAGCTCAAAGTACAATAATGAAAGAAATTGGGTTTCAGGCAATACTTTCCAACTATTCTTGAACTATTTATAGACATTGTTGTGATGACATACTTTGAACTTGTTCTTGTCTTACTGCTAGCAGTGCTGAATAATATTACTTGTTGTTGTGGTACTACTAGGTACAGTATTTTTGTGTAGAAGATAAATTAGGATGAGCTGTGAAAAAAGCTTGTGGTCATATCAGTACTAGTATGGTGTCATTAGTACTGATATGCCATCATTTGTGACCAACAAGGCACAAGAAGAATAAAATTAGCTACTGGCAAAACCAAAGAACACTAACCATTAACTACTACTACTTTGCATTTGTGCTTATTTTTGCATAGTACGAGTAGTAGTAGCCCTTGCAACTTGATATCATACCAGCCAGTATAGACATGGCTCCCTAATCAAGGCACTAGTTGTACATTTTTGGCCCTTATTTTGTATGTAATGACTACTTTGACTAAAAAAACTGGCTTGTACTGCAGTTTAAAGCTAGGCACGTGCTGAATTTTATTCCTACCAGTCTTGCAACCAAATAGTTTGTGATTCCTACTTTAACACATGCTACTACAAGTCTGAATTTTTTTATCCCATGAGGCATTGCACATTGCTAAAGATATGGCCCATTATCTACACACCATGTTATTTAACTGTAGAACTATTTGAATCATGAACTGACAGTTTGAGCTGTAACTTGGTCCCCAATGGATACTGAAGTATGATAGGCACATGAATTGAAAACGAATTTAGACAGGATTCTAGTCATCATATGGGGGAGCCAGAAGGTCCTTATGTTATTTATTGATATGTGTGTCATATGTTGAGCATTGCTGATGTATCATGGTTGCCACGGTTATATGATACTAGTGGTGCCTTCATTCCCATTTTTCATAGCTGGATCTTTAATGACACACATCACAGCTCAGAATTTCTTCCTCTCTGACTCTATCTTGCTCTTACTGCTCTGAGTTCTCACCAAGAAGATACAGATCTTCCTCATTTGCACTCAATCTCTGATGACAACACCCTCAGTTCCTCTTCATCTTCCAGCACAATAATGTATTCCAGCCTGACTCCTCACCCAACACATGTTATGTTTGTTAGTGACAGCAAGGCACTCATCACTAGGATCAGTTCCAGATATGGACAAACAGAAGTATATGCAAATGCTACTATACCACCAGAATTTGATTTGATTGAACAAATTTTTCAAACCACATAATTGCCAGATATTTCTCCTTCCTTTTCTTGAGTTAAAACCCACCAGCAGTATGCTCAGCTGAATGTCAAAGCCAATCGCTATGCTGGTGCTTTTCAAGTCCAGATGACAATGGCTGATTTCATCACACCAGTTTTACCTTCATGCCCAGCAGTCCTATGTGGTTTCATGCCTACTTGGAAGAAAGGAATTGCAGGCAGATATTCCTTGGAAGTCACCATTAGGCACCATTAGGGATTTCCATCAATTGCATCTCTTGGAATGTTCTGGTAGCAAAAATGCTACTATCATATTCTACTCACTGAAATGTCAAACTCGTGACACCTGTTGGCTCTGATCCCATTCCAAAGATTCCAAGCATCTCTTAAGCTCTTTTCATCCAAGCCAGCTCAGATGGCAGTGTTAGACAACCACCTTGTTGAGGGAGTGGATGTCCACCCTGGGCTTCAGATTGATTGCCACTTATACTTTTGCAAGCTGCCTCACCAAATGGCTGGATACTGGCATTGTTTTGTCAGAGAAATATCCTACTACGTCCTTTCACCCAGCTATTCATTTCCAAAGTGAGATTGGATGGCACCATTTGTTTGGTGGTGGCCACCTTTTACTTCAGTGGGGGATCACTGACCCTGGCTGATAGTCATTCCAGCTCTCACTCCCCAGCCATGCTGGGGGGTTATCTTGTGGAATTCTATATTATTTCCCTCTTTCTTGGAAACAAGCATGGAATTGACATTTGATTATAACAAAAGTATGTAATCTGTTTGCCCTAAAACCATAGAAGTGACTGTCTCAAATCAAAGAATAGAAATGTATGTTTCATGTATGGTGGTTATGTATCATATGATCATATGCTGTCTGTAGTATCTGCTGTGTATATCTTTGCTCTATGAAAACTACTAAGAAGAGAAGCATTACTAGTAGTGGTAATCTAATCCAGAAATACTTGCACAACAACTACCATCACTACAAATGATTTGATCTCAGAAGACGTGATTTCTGCTCTTGTCATGTGAGGAATCACAAGGCCAGGCACAGCAAGAAGAGTTGACATCCACCAACCCAAACTGAATCAAAAAATAATACTTAGTACATGAGATACATCATATTACTGGGTTTCAATGCAAAGGATGAATCATCTGGCAGTACTGAGATCAATAATGGAACAATTTGCTCCCCAAGTAGTAGGAGTAATGCAATGCTGATGGTTGCAAGAAGCAATATCACAGAGCTTACAGTTGGTACCTATTCTGACTGTGTTATTGGAAGAATAAGAGCTGTTTAGTATGCATTAATGATTGCCTCCATTTTGATTTATAGTTCTACTTCTGGTGTGGACTGCTACTTTGGGGTAGAGGAAATTTGATTCCATGTTTTGTTGTTAGAAGTAACTTCTTTGGGCTACTATTGCTTCTCTGGCTGGTCAGTAGGTTCTTTAGGAGCCTTATCAGTACTATTATCAGTATTAGGTTCCTCTGAGTTCTTCCAAGGCGCATGCTCACCAATTACACACTGTTCTGGCAACTTGTTGCCTCCAAGATGAGCTCATATTGGATCCATAGAAAAGAACAGCTCCTAGTACTACTAGTAGCTGTCATAGTTGTCGGAATCCCAGGGGAATGTCTGGTCCACTTCTTCAAACAGATCTTCTTTAAACAGCCACCAGTGCAGGTTGCATTGAGTTCTTTGTTGTATGGAGTGGGCTTCTTGTCCTATTCCTGGTCTTCAATTCATTTCCAATATTGAGTGAACACAAACTGAACTTGAGGGGAGTGATCACTGAGTACCTCTGGTGGAGGCAGATTACTAGGAGCTTCAGGGGAGGTGCTGTGGGCCTATCCAAAACAATTTGGATCTTCCATCTAAACCCTAGTTGTCCTTGATTAATTTCACTGCTACCCTTCTTGCCTTTGATGCTGAGGGTCACTTTATCTCCATACTGCTATGTATGGTTGCAAGCTCGGGCTTTGGCAGTCCCCATTGCTTGAAGGCAGAGGCTTTGGGTCCTTTTTAAACAAGGAGCCTTGCTTGGTGCCTTGACTTCTACTAACTACTATTAATGATCACTCTTTGCCTATGATTCCAATAGACAAAAAACAGCCCATTTGGGCTGGATTGATGCTCCACCAAATCTGGAGAGCAGTCAATGCATTGATATACATCCTTCTGGAGGAGCTCTTCCATAAAGAGATCTGGTGTTTTGAGTTGCTGAGTTTGCTGCTTTTGCTGTGGCTGTGGCTGTGGCTGTGGCCGCTTGATTTTTGCAGTATTTTCCTCCATAATATTGAGCTGGGGTGGTCAGCCTCACATGAGGTAGTAACAACAAGATTGATTCCAAGAGAATAAAAAGTGTTTGACACATTTTGATAATCTCCCAGAAAGCACAGTCTGATGAATCTACCACTGTTCCTTCCAACCATCCACAGATACTAGTACAAAAGAGGCAAGGGAGTATCATGTCAAATTTTCAGTTGCAAGATTAGTTACCTGAGTTAGTGAGCAGTTAGAGCCAGCTGGTCAGTTGAGGTGCTGGAGTGCGTGTCCATTTGCTGGACTGGATTTTTAATCCAAATTGTCATTAACACATGGTAAACAAGGGCCCTGAAATCCACACCAGTTTAATGTATTCCCATGGAATTTAATCATACCTGGTTTAGTCTTGAACACCAGATAGTCTGACCTGTATCCAACAGCCACTGAACAGAGATAAGCACATCAATTTGTTCATAATATAAAGGAGCTGATTTAAGTGATGAGGGGAATAGGGCCTTTCAGGGCCTCACAGAAATTACAGGGATATTTTTGGCTGGATATGTATGGTATGTGCAGTTGAGACTGTGTTTTTTTGGGACTGTGTTTTTTTGGCTTGTTTCACCCCTTGTCTTTTTTTGGCTTGTTACACCTATTTGATAGTAATCTCAAGAGTTTCAAATTTTGTTGGATTGTTATCCACAGTACATTTTCAGAATACCTAATATTTCTTCCACAGTGAGTTGTTGTTGCTTTTCAATTGACACTACTACTGCTACTTGTACTATCCATACTACTAATACTAAAACTGCTAATAGTACTACTAGTAATACAAGCTAGCATCAGGAAGATAATGGTTTAGTTTACGACAAGAAGCTACTAGTAGTACTACAACTTGTAGTACTACCACCACTAGTAGTAGTTGTTGTTGTGCAACTACTAGCGATATTACTACTATTGTATTATAGGCATGGCCACACTGTTTCTCCATGCTTTAACAAGATGGTGTATTGATCCCATTTCTTTCCCCTCAAATTGATCCAGAACAATACATCCTGTGAGGTGGGAGACACTGCTAAAAATGGAGGATACTGAAAAAAGCAAGCAGCAAAACAAGTATGAAACTGAGCCGCAACTTAAAACACCAGACTTCCTTGTTGAAAATCTCCAAAAGGATATGTATCAACAATACCCAAACAGCTAGCCCAA